CTTATATATATTGCACAATTTTTTATTTAGTTTGCTAAAAGAAAACAAGCGGAACTTGAAAACTATCAAGGCATAATTTTTGGAAGGATCTGATAATCCCCAAAAGAAACAGAAGATTATTCAGGTATTTTTATTGTTTTATTAATTAATGTTAATAATAGTTTGATAAAATAATATATAATGTTATTTATATAATAACTTAATTAATAATTTATCGTTAATAAAAACTTTCAAATAGAATGAAAAAATATTTACACACAGTAACTTGTTTGGAATAATTTTTCATAAAAGAGAAAATTCTTACTCTTTTTATCAAAATATATCTTCTAGTTATATAGTATATTAAATAAAGCGTGTAATCAGTATGTTTATATAAAATTATGCCAAAGAAAATAAAGATTAAGCAAACGTTTTTTTTTAGTATAAATACTAGATAATTTGCAATTAATATTGTTGCAGGAAGGTGAAGCTCTTATTTCACAGTTTCTCACAAATTGTAAAGCTTTGGATCAATCTTTATCCGATATCGATTTAGAAAATCAGGTATCATCATTGAAGAAGGATATTCTCTCCCATAAGAATGCTTACATTGAAGCATTAATTACCAATTCTTTTTAAATCAAGAATTGTATATTACTGTGAATACAAGAAAGAAAAAGGATTATAACAAACAGTATTATTTATAAGTACAAATATTTTTATAAGCCGACTAAAAGAATATGTAAATATACTTTTCCATTAAATCAATTTCATATAAATATGTATTATATTCAGTTTTTACCTTTGAAAAGAGATAATATAATACATACAAATGAGTTCAACATAGTTCTTGAAAAGTGGAGAGGAAGACAGTATATTTTTGTAGCCAATTTTTGAACTAGATTAAGTAATTAAAAAGAAGAAAATGTTCATAACATTGTCTGTGACTTTTTTAAGGAATTTTTGTAGAAAATATTCGTGATCACAATCGTGAAATTATGATGATTCTATGATGATACCATCTGCGGATAACATATTGATTCGCGTTCTCCATCGTAACCTTGAACTTGACTAGCGTATTGCTGGTCCTGGGGAGTGTCTGAAGGCCTGTCAAGTGACTGTTGATCGTACATTTTTCTATCGTTTTTATCAATAACAATTATGGATCCCGCGGTCTTCCCCGAGGAGATTTGGATTAAGATTTTATTGTACTGCGATGTACCTGACATTATTGCGTTTGGCAGCACCTGCAAATACCTGAGGAAGACGTCGGACACGGATTATCTGTGGTGAGTGCACCAGGTTAGGTTTACGTCGAACCAGCATCAAATCGGGTCTGTCACGGACGGACACGCGAGCAATGTACACTCAGAACGTGCGATTTTGCATACACTAATTAATGATATGCATCTCGTTTGTTTTCCTGGTGGGATCCACCGGTCGAAATTTTTCGACCATGGCGACCCAACCTTCTCCTTCTTCAATAAAGAAGGAAAGACTTTAGGAAAGACTTAGAGAATTAAATACCAAATGCAGAATAAGAAAATATTGCTTGAGATTTTGAACGAAAACGTTGCTTTCTTTAGAAAATAATATATTTTGCATTATTTTAGGAAGATGAAATGGCTGCAGCTAATTTCAAAGGTGCACTTTAGATTCCCAGATATAAAATGCTTACAATTGCTCAGCGTCAGCTTCAAAGCTATGTGCTACAGATTACACATGGTGATTACGTTAGGAGAGAATGCACCTTTTCCAAAATGTTATCACTGCAGTGGTTATACGTGTCAGAGAAACTGTGTTGAGGGCTCCAGCGCCAAGGTAGTGATTGAGATCGGCAATAAATATACCTGGGTAATTACTCCATACTTTGGACTGAGGAGACACTTTTCCATGTTTGGCATTCCCAAATATAACAATAAAACTCACGTGGAACAAGTGCAGACTCAGAATGTACCAAGCAGCAGCACACGTTCGAAATCTGATGCAAAGTCATTAGCAAAGAGATTGAAGTTGTTGAAACTGCCGGAATTGGCGACCGCCAAGATTCCGCGACCAAGCGGGCCGTTCTGTGTTTTCTGCAATCCTGTGAAATTATATAGAGAAAAGCGAAGATTAACTACACACCAGAATGATCCGATGTGTTATACTAGACTAAATCCGATATACCAGAAGCTTATAAATGGTTATTGCACTGATACTGTGGAAGTGCTTGGCATTCCGAACGTGGATGTTGTGAGCCCAGCTGAGGCATTGCTGTGCGAGGGCACGTTTCCAGTTCTCAAAACTTTTATCGATCACTTGTTTCATCAAATGAGTTTGACTGTGACACTGAGAAAACCAAATACTGTGCTCATGTTTTGCGAACCGTTGGCAATGCATCCTACATTGAGAAAACAATTATTACATTATTTATTCCAGGAAGTTAAAGTAGCGAGGTAATGATTTATTTAACAAA